ACTGCACCGCGTTAAAAGTTCTAGCATTTCTTTCCTCCCAAATGATTCAAACCAAAGCATCCCTTGTGCACCTCCACAAGACTCTACATCTTTTCTTCGGTCACCTGAAGGTAATAGGGTCAAAAAGACTGCTTATCTATATTGGCACTATCCACCTGCAACCAAAAAGACCAAAAAGCTTCTGCAAAGACCTACAACAAAAGGGAACGAGTTTAGTAAATGGTAGCAGTTTTTTTCATTGACTTTACAGAGGATACACCAGTTAGGGCGAGATACTAAGTCAATGTCTTTTTTTGCAAGTTGCCCAATGTGTTTAGTTTTCCAAGAGACACTTCCCAACAAAGAGCTCCCACCTTAGGAGGAATGGCTTTTGACCAGATATCCTTACTAGGTAAAGGTTTAGTATCAATGACCGAGCACAAATAGAGAAGAAGGAAGCACAAGAAAACAATCCCAACAGGTTCGGGGTCCAAATGCAAGTATCTGGCTTAGACAGGTCCAAGTAAACAGGATCAAGAGTTTTAAGGAGCAAATTACAGCTGAAACCAAAGTCTAAGAAAAAGAAACAAAACTCTAAATAGGTTCACTTTTAAAAAGAGGGATTACAAGGAAGGAAAACAGTCCTTGATGGTAGAGTCACCAATCCAAACATCCTCCCAAAACAGAACCCTATCTCCAGTACATTCATCATACCTGGTCAAGCTTAAGAATTGGGGAAAAACACTATGTATAGCCTTCTACAGAGAGTTCAATGTAGCCTATTGAGATATATAGGCATCTCAATTCTTGTTGAGATTAGTGTTTTAAGAGTGCAAGGGGGAATTTGCACCCGAGGCATGTGCCTTTTGGAGAGGCACAAAAATAGAAAAAAATGTGAGAAAATTCAAAAAATACAAACTTAAAATTTCAAAAAAATGTTTTTAAAAACCTATTATCTAAAATTAAAACACATAAATATAACATGTAAATCACATTAAAATGAAAATTTAAGAATAAAATCAAACATATAAAACATTTTCACGCATGTAAAACCCACAATCTCTTTGTTTCCTCAATTGCATTACTTCAAATAGCTAATGTGATGTAAAACATCTAGCATTCTTGATTCTACAAGCCGCCTTTGAACCAAGCCCCTCGAGGCAAGCCCAAACAAATCAATTATTTTTGTGTAAGGATTAAGAATTTAAGACCCTAACATGGATTCGTTTGGGCTTGCCTCAAGGGGCTTGGTTGGGGGTCTGGAGGTAGAGCCCCCGGCCCAGCACTAGGCACACACCTAAGCACCTAGGACCTAGGCAAGGCATATACCTTAAAATGTGCCTCACCTAAGCACCTAGGTGTGCCTGAGGCACACCTTTTAAATCTGGACAAGATATACCACCATCTCCAAAACCATTTACCTAGGGTCATTCACTGGTCATATTACTTCACTTCTCAGGTACATATCATATTTAAATTAAAAATTTGTAGTGACTAAAATGATTATTCCATTATTAATATTATTATTTTTCTAAAATTAAAAATCATTTTTTGATATAAATGTAGATTAGTAGGTTTGACAAATTCAATTTAATATTATATTCTTGAATATTTTGTAAATATTTTTTTATTTTTGTAAATAGTAAATATGTTGTTATTTAAATTAATAATTTAAAATATATATATATAATTTTTAAGATACATACCATGTGCAAATTTGTAAATTTTAAGTACTAAAATAATTATTTTATTATTAATATTTTATTTGTAAAAATTTCTTGAGGTTCAAATAATCTTTTGATATAAATATGGATTTGATAGATTATTTATTCCATTATTTTATAAAATACTAGTTTTGAATATTATTCTTTTTAACTTTTTGTTGGAGTTGTTTGCTGCCTGAAGAAGTGTCTATATGGTCTCAAACAAGCTCCTAAGGCCAGGTTTAAACGATTATAATTGATGCTGATACCATCAAAGTTCTTCAGATTTCTCTCCTTTTACCTTGTACCATCCACAAGGTGTGACACTACTATAATATGTGGACGATATTATCAATACAAGAGATGATGAAGATGGTATTGTTAATCTGAAACGACATCTGAACCAAACCTTTAGGATGAAAGACCTTAGGTATTTGACATACTTTTGGGGGTTAGAGTGCAACAGAATTCATGTGGCTATTTTGTCAACCAGCACAAATATGTGGCATACCTGGCTAAGTTGGCAAATCTTACACTCTAAGCTTGTTGATACTCTCTTTGAGATTAATCTAAAACTCAGCAAGGATGATGACTCCTTCTTGAGGACATTACTCTTTATCATCAAAAAGTGAAAAGCTTGATTTGCCTTACTATGACTCACCCTGATATCTCCTATGCAGTTCCAGTGGTTGATCAGTTTGTTTCTGCTTCCCATCAACCACATCTTCTAGCTATCTATCATATCATCAAATATGTCTATTGCACCCTATCTCATGGGTTGTCCTCTTTCTCCTCATCGTCTGCCCATCTCTACTTATGCTGATGTCGATTGGGTTAGATTCCCAGATACTAGGAGATCCACTACAGGTCGTTGTGTTTTCCTTGGTGTTTCTGTTATCTATTGGAAATGCAAGAAGCAACCCACTGTCTCTAAATCTTCAATAGAAGCTGAATATAGGGCAATGTCTTGTGTGTAATGAAATTGTTTGGCATGAAACAACTACTTCACCATATTCACATTGATCACTCCTCTCCTATTCCCCCTATTTGTTGACAATCTAAGTGCCATCAAGAATGCTTCCAAACCAATTTTTCATAAGCACATGAAGCATATTGAAGTTGATTGTCACTTAATTAGGGACCTTCTCCATGTGGGTCACATTACACTTCCTCATCTTTCCTTAGGACTGCAACTAGCAGACTTATTCACTAAAGTTATGAATAGGTAATGCAGCAGCTGAAGAATCAAATTTGGAATTTTCTTAAATTTTCTGTATTTTTGTATATTTGGACAGTATGGGTATTTTTGTCATTTTAACTAGTCCTGTGTGTGGCTTAGGCTATAATATCTTGATCATCTAGTTTATTAGGGGTTATCTTTCAATTTTCAGTTTATTTGCATTAGTAGATAGAAAGCTATTGTGGTTCTTGATGCACAAGACAAGGAGTGGCATTTTTTAACTATGGTGAACAGTATTCCGGGCCACAAGTCACTCTATATAAATAGATGTATTCACTTCCTTTGGAAGCTAATGAATGAATGAATGAATGAATGAAGATTTCTTTAGAGCAAGTTTGTTGTATGGAGTGATTCCTACAAACCCTAGAGTGATTCTAGGACCCTTAGGAGTGATTTCTTGGGATTTCTCTCTCATTTCTCTTTCTTCACCCCTTCTCCTCCCTCTCTCACAGACACTCTCTTGCTCTCTCATTTCTGTCTGGTGATAGTTTGTTCTAGCCCTACTGCATCACTAGGGCCTGACACACTTTTCTCATGGGCAAATAGATGCCCACATCAGTTTGAGGGGGAGAGTAGAAGAGGTGAGGGATAATCTTGTATTTTTACTTTTATTCTTATTATCTCTATGAGAGCAATTTTGTATTTTGTATCTTGTACACTAGATCATTGTAACTTATCTATACTTTCTTTTTTACGAGAGGACGTAATGGTCCTTTCACTCATTTAATATAAATATTCTCTTTTCTGGGTGTTATTCTCATTCAAACACGCCCATACAACTCTTCTCTTCTTCCTTTCTTGATTCTTTCTTCTTCAATCTGACTTTGAAATAAACCTATAGAAAAAATGTAAAAGATTATTTGTGTTAATAACATTTTCTAGGAAAAACGATATTCATTGTGTACATTAGCTTTTCACTTATGTTAAATAATCAAGAAGAAAAAGAAAAATGTCAACTGGAAGTGTCCTTCAAGAAACCATCAATTGTTAGTGTCCAACACAACTCGATACAAACACTTCCTCCATTAATTGCTATATTTTTGTTTGATTTGTTTTGTTGTTTTTACTTTTATTTTCAGTTTATTCTGCTTTGCTTATTAGGTAACCAGGGCTATTGTTGTCATTTTATATGTAAATTTATGATTGATTTAAATACATGAGCAGGGTGCACACCTCAGAGGCTCCTCCTACTTCTGCTTGGCTGTTCTCATAAATGTTTTCTCTTATCTTCTCCCATCTTCTCTTCTTTTATTCCATCTTTCCTTGTTCTTAATCAATTAAAACTAGCTTTAATCAAATAAATCTTGTTTGAAGAAAATAAATTCCTATTTCTAGTTTAGTTTACCATTAACATCATCTTTACCCCATTACCAATTTATAACCTTTACATAGTATTGCATGAACATGGACATGGAAGTTGAACAACAATGCATGTCCAAGAGTCTGATTCGGAAAGATGATAAAGCAGGAATTCATGAAGAGGTCAATAGAAAAGCATATAATATTACAATACACATTTTCTGAATTCTAACATTATATACCTACAAAAAATGTTGCTTTTGCTGCTAAGTGACATTTGATACAAAAAATGGATTCATCTTGTAGATTAGCTGTTCAATTATGTCAAATAAGCTATGAGATAAAAACGAAATGTAATGTAGAAGTGCCCTCAAGAATCTGTGGAGTGTCATACTCGGTTACATGTCCAATACAACATGCCGTCCATTTAGGAGAGTCCATCCAACACCACCTTTACATCCATGCATGTTCCTTATTCTTTTAAGATCTAGATTCCCCTAACCTAATCATGAACAAGCTATTGTTTCAGTAATTGGATATTCTATATATCCTATTTTGTAGGAATTGGAATCGCAACATCAGTGCCTTGAATTAACCTATTTGATGCTGCTAGAGATGATGTACAGGTCCGGTTGTTTTGCATATTCTCAAGGGCTACCAGTCTTTTATAAACATATCAATTTACTCTATCTAATCAATCACTATCAACTGAACAATATCCACAAGTACTTTCAGAAGACTAAATAGGGTACCTTCTGTTCACTGATTCAAGTGATTACCTTCTGGTTCATAGTTTCAATAAATAATGTTTCACGAACAACGGATGAGATTGCATCAATGAATTCTTCAAGCATTCCTTTAGCATGGTAAATCCGGCAGAGCTTAACTTTTACTTTACCATTAAGCCACCATGGTTTTGGTTGCACTGAATTCATGTCAAGGCTTGAATCTGGAGAAATAAATTGAAAAAATGATATACTAAAAAGGATTCAAAAACATGAGAAAAGGATGCAAATACATGTCAGAGGGAAAAAGAAATATGTGTTGTATAAGGATGCAAATACATGAGAAAAGGATTATCAAACTTCAATATGAAATTACCTAATTCTTTTGGAGGAGAAAGCAATGTGATGGCCTCATCTTCCTTTCCCTCTTCAAGAAGAAGTGAAGCTAAAGTTAAGCGGGCATCAATGTTGTCCTCCGCCCTAGGTAAAGCTAAACAGAAATATAAGTTATGAAAATGAAGAGATCACCTGCTGCTAGAATAAAGCAGGAATTTGAAAGCATATATTAATCAATGTGCACATCTAACCATTCAATAATGGACAGTTGTATCTTTCAAGTAAACTTGGCAAAATAGTCATGGAATTTTTAACAAAAATAGTACATGGAAATTGCAGCTTAAATTTCACAAAGATGCCCCCAACATCTCAAACATTGTCAGACAAATGTCCATTGGGAATTTATGCTCAACAATCAAACTGGATATAAATATCTAGTTTCCACCCTAGAAAAAAATACATGTTTAACTTACTGTCTTTGTAAATAGACCTGGTTTCAGAGAAGAAAGATGGAAAATAGGTGAAAAAGAAAACAAAGTGCAAACCCATGGACTCTGTACAGACGGTGGACAGGCAACGATAGTGGTTCATCTCCGAAAGTCCAAGGATCTTGTAGTGGAGTATGTGGAGATTCTGTGACCTAATGTATCTTATTAGTATAGTCCCTGTTGCACATTACATTACTTGTATTCTTTATTCTTTTTTCTCTTTCAGCCCGGTATGGGCATTTTTGTAATTGAACATATTCTTTAATATGAAAGAGGCTCTTGGGGGTGGGGGTCTCCTATTCTTGACACCCCTGAATTCCTTTGATCTCTTTCATGTTTGAACCAGTAGATTAACATGGCATCAAAGCAGGTTGCTCTCTGATCTATTTTCTGATCTCTTGATCCTCACTGAAAGCAGTAGCCCTATTGTCCTATTAGGATTTAAGGCCCTCTCTATTCTACAAAAGAGATTAAGGTTGTTTGATCAACCCTAATATCTGTCCATTCTGTTTTGTGCAACTAGCAGGAGAGATTTTATTATCTCTCTCTTGGGAGATTTTAGATAGAGGCCAAACTTCAGATCTAGTGTGGCCTAGGCCTGATCTATTCACCATACATACAGCATCTGATTTGGTGAATTTTTTGAAGGAGTTTTGGTTTTGTTTTTGGGGAGGAAATAGTGTACAGTTTCCTTCTTTGGACTGCAACATCTTTGAGGGGTTATCTCAAGGACTTTCAGATCTATTTTTTGAAGGTTTTCTGGAAAATACATTTAACAGATGCAATGAAGGAAGAAATTGATGTGTTACACAAAAATGGCACTTGGGAGTTGGTGGATCTTCCTAAAGGGAAGAAACCAGTGGGTTGCAAGTGGGGGTTCACAGTGAAACACAAGGCTGATGGAACTGTTGAAAGGTACAAGCCCGGAATGGTGGCAAAAGGTTTTACACAGGTATATGGAGTGGACTATGCAGAGACTTTTGCTCTAGTAGCCAAGATGAACTCTATCATGATTCTTCTTTCACTGGCAGCAAATCTTGACTGGGAACTTCATCAATTGGACATCAAAAATGCTTTCTTGAATGGTGACTTAGAAGAGGAAGTGTACATGACCCAACCTCTAGGTTTTTGTGCCAAAGGCAGTGAACAGAAAGTGTGCAAATTAAAAAAATCTTTATATGGGTTGAAACAATCACCTCGGGCCTGGTTTAGTAAGTTCCACTTAGAATTTCAACAGATGGGGTTCAAACAATGCCAGTCGGACCACACTCTATTTGTGAAGAAAGGTGAAGGGAAAATTGCAGCTCTAATTGTGTATGTGGATGACATAGTGATCATAGGAGATTGGGAGGCTGAAATACAGAGACTAAAAAAATTCTTAGCCACTCAATTTGAGGTGAAAGATCTAGGCCCCTTATGTTATTTCCTTGGAATTGAAGTGGCCCGCTCTCACAAGGGCATCTTTATTCCCCAACGAAAATATGTACTAGATCTACTAGAAGATACAGGCAAGCTAGGGGTGAAACCAATTGACTCACCAATTGAACCTAACCATCAACTGGGAGACAGTCAAGGAGAGTTCTTGAAAGATGTGAAGAAGTTTCAGAGACTTGTAGGCAAACTCTTGTATTTGTCTATGACCAGGCCTGATATTGCTTATGCAGTGGGTGACCTTAGTCAGTTCATGCAGTGGATGTCCTAGTCAGTTCATGCACAATCCGGTGGGTATTGTGCCTTTGTAGGAGGAAACCTGGTCACATGGAGAAGTAAGAAGCAAAGTGTGGTGGCTAGATCTAGTGTTGAAGTAGAATACAGAGCTATGTCTCATGGGGTTGCCGAAATCATGTGGATAAGAAACCTGTTAGGTGAACTGGGTTTTGCAGTTAGCAACCCTATGTCACTCTATTGCGACAATAAAGCTACTATCAACATTGCAGCTAATCCAGTCCTCCATGATAGAACAAAACACATTGAAGTGGACAATTATTTTATTAGAGAAAAACTTGTGAATGGAGAAGTGTGCACTCCATATGTCAGCTCAAAAGAACAATTTGCAAACATCTTCACCAAAGGTCTTCATCATGTGCGGCGTAATGATTTGTGTGACAAATTGGACATGACTGACATCTATGCTCCAACTTGAGGGGGAGTGTTGAAATAATTTATTTTATTTTGTTAGGGTCTGTTTGGTAGGTTAAAGCCTTTTTTATTTTTTCTGTTATTGTACTTCACTTACAGCAGGGGCACAAGGGTCTTTTCCCTTCTTATTTTTGTCGCCCTATATATTATAATAGAAGCTGGCGCCGCCAGCTCTGTTCCATTGCCTCTAATCTTTCTTCTTCCCTTCTTTCTTCTTCTCTTCTCTTCTCTTCTCTTCTTCCTTATTTTTCAAATCAGATTTATTGCCAAGACATGGTATTACAGAACTCTATGTCTTTTTTTTTTCTAGTCCGACCTGCATTTTTTCTCTTCTTTTCTCCTACATTTTGTTTTTTTTCTCCTATGTCCAAAAACAAAACTTAGGACTGACCGCACTTTTTAGAACTCTGTTCTAGGACTACCCTTTGGAGGAGAGACCAAGGAAAGTTCCCTAGCTTCAGTGGTGGCCTATTAGGGTGAGAGGAACACCAGTAGCCAATCAGAAACTAGAGAGGTCTGATAAATCTCAGACCTAGAAGCTGGACAGATTAGAGGAACCCTTGTACCAGCCCTCAGTGGAGGAGAAGCACAGCTGCAGCTTGGTTGTTTGTGTTGACAGTATTCCCAGCAGCCCAATGCTGTAATAGGGGTTGACAGTGGACAGTGGTGACAATTGCAGAACAGTCCAGGAGAGGTTCAGGTTCAGGTTCAGGTTCAGATTTGAATCCTTCACATTTCACTTTTTTAAGAGTATTAGCAGCTGTTTGTTGGTAGAAATTCAAAGATGTCTTAAGTTTCAGGAGAAGTGTCTTCTAAGGATACTAGATGGAAAGGGTTTGATGAATCCCAACCTACATAGCCTACAAATTACCAAGGTGCTGTTTGATGAATACAACTTTTGGGAATGGTCAATTTCAACAAGGTTATTTATTTTTTTTCAGGGGTTTAATGGGTTATATTGATGGAAAATCAAAGCAATCCAAGGAAGAAGATGTGGATATTGCTACGTGATACAGAGAAAATGCTACAATTATGTCCTGGTTACTTGCCTATATGATTATAATAGAAGCTAGGACTATCCAGCATTTCCCACTGCATCTACAGATTGACTCAGGATATTGCGACGTTGAATCAAGGGAAGATGATTATTTTGCTACTCTAGAAGGGCTATCAATTGGGACAGCAGTGGTGACAAAGAAAAGTATGATACGTAGGTTGAGGAGGGAAGAGCCTTCAAGTTCTTGGGAGGTTTAGACCCTATATATGAGAACATTCAATCACAAATACTGGGACGAGATGAGCTACCAGATTTGCAACAGGTTTGCTACCTTGTCAGAAATGAAGAGATTAGGAGAAGGGAGATGCAGTTTGAGAGTCAATCTCAGCCCCTTGAGCATTCAGCCCTGGTTTCTTTAGTACCTAAAGGTGGAAAGAATGGTGAAAGAAGCATTTGAAGTGCTTTCACTGTGGGGGAGAGAAACACACTAAGGATACTTGTTGGATACTTTATCCTCATCTAAAACCAGCTGTGTATTGAGAAAGGCTAAGCCTCAGAAGGGACAACTATCAGGAGGCAATGCTACTACTTCTAATACTGCTGAGGGAATTCAGAAGCCCAGACCTACAACTACTACTTTTCCAATGGGACAGACCACTACTACTAGCACTACAGAGAACTTCCTAGGTTTTACTGCTGATGAGGTAGAAATCCTTAGTTGAGCAATGGCTCGGTTGAGGAACATCCCTCTTGTTTCCTCGTCCTTTGCCAAGTCAGGTACAACTGCTCATAGTGTCTCTAGTTATCTTTAATCTCACTCCCAGATCATCGATTCAGGCACTACTGATCACATGACACATCAGTCCTCATTGTTCACCACTTAGCAGCTTTTATCCAGGCAAGACAGGGCGAGAGTAGTTGATGGTTCCTTCACTACCATTTCTGGAAAGGGGGAGGTGAACCTCGGCAAGGATCTCTCCCTCAAATCTATTCTCCATATTACCAGTTTTGCTTCTAACTTGTTATCTGTTTCTAAGCTTACAAAAAACTTGGATTGTAGTATAACTTTCTTCCCTATCTATTGTGTTCTGCAAGACATATTGACAAGGAGAACAATTGGGAGAAGTCACGAAGAGGGGGGCCTTTACTACTTCAATGAAGATATTAGTTCTGCCAAGCACCAGTCTAGTCTTGGTGTGAATGATAACAAGGAGTCAATAGCTAGGGTGCCTTTTTCGCATGCTAGGTTAGGCCATTTGTCTTTTTAGTTAACAAAAGAGTTGTTTCCAGAGTTAATTGTTTCTAGCCAGAATCTTTTTTGTGAGGTTTGCAAAATGTCAAGACAATGCAGAACAATTTATCCAGTTCCAAAAAAGAAGTTTTTGCACCTTTTGATTTGGTTAATTCTGATGTTTGGGACCCTTCACCCCTAGTTTCCATGGATGGTTATTGCTTTATTGATAATTTTTCAAGATGTACATGGATTTACTCGTTGAAAAACCAAGACGAATTGGAATTGGCATGGATTAC